AAACATAACCCTAATTGTCTGGAAAATAATGTGGGGGAAAAAATGCAATTTTTCCTTGGATTTGGGGATTTTAGCATCTCAAATTAGAAACTCAGCATTGAATAAGACACAATCTATTTCTCATTATTGAATATGGATGAAACCCACATGCTAAAATCGTATCAATCCACATAAAAGCTATTTTGATATTAGTGGATTGAAATGCTAATGTGTGGCTCGAGAGTCACGCTTATGAAGATTAATGGTGATGAAGTTTGTTTCGATGCTGTTCGGTTATTTGAGCTGATAGCCTATGAATAATCCATCTGTGTGACCCTGTCAGTGCTGAGATAAAGGCAGATGAAGTGGTCTTTTAGGGCTACAGAAGAGGCACGGGTCATTTGAGGAGATCATTATAGAAACGAGGCCAATTAAAAGCACTGTCAACTCATTTAGTCTCTGGTTGGAAAGAGTCTTGCAAGAAACAATGCTACATTTATCAATATAGATGCATTTAAAGGGAAGGAGTTGTACTTAAGATGGTATTTTATCTGCGTTTGAAGTTCATAAGACTTTTGGAAGTTCTTTGTAAGAAGTTTGAGCTCAAAGCAGAGGCCGGGGCAAGTTGTCACAAGATCCATATGAGGTTAAGTTTCAAACATCTAGGTAAAAACCATCTTAAAACATGTTTTTTGGTTGTGAATTCTGTCCTCCAAACTAAATTCCTCCTATTTTAATTGCTTTTGAGTCGACAAGTGAATGGTAAACCCCACATTTGGATTCCATTTCGGTTTTAGCCACTTTTTGATTTATTTTATGTTTAATAATTGTTTTACTGTTTTAAATTTGGCTAAAAAGCCATTAAATAATAATAAAAAAAATTGTTTCATATTTCAACAAATTCTTCTTCAGTCGGTGTCAAAAAAAAAAGCAATTTCCTGTTGTGACAACTTACCCCGTATGTGTGACAACATGCCCCGCTGCTGAGTTCAGTGTGTGCTGTTTTCAATATATTTTTGTAATCAAAGCTTTAAGTTTGTGTCTATCCAGAAACTGACTTTCAGAAACCCTAAACTTTTGCAACTGAGAGATATTAATTGTAAATAGCTGGGAATTATGTTAAATGACTTCTTCCTAGAAACCGTATCTGATCATGGCGGTATGAACATGGATTATAACACGGAGCCGTAGCATGTTGAGCTATTCTTAGATAAATCATGGATCAAATCAAATATTTCTGGATGGGTTGTTTTTGGGTTTGTAGCTGCACTGTTATGAAGCAGTGGCACAAAGACGATTAATTCACACTTAACATTTCTGAATGAGCACAATATTCAATCAAGTGTCATTTATTGTGAAGTATCAGTGCATCTTTCTTTAAAAGCAAATCATTTGACATTAATCCTGCAGCATTTGAGCACAGATACAGCCGCTGTGATTTAATGCAAAGACGTTAGGTGCGAGTTTGGGCTTGTGGCGTGTTTTGTTGCATGCTGATTTTGTGTTTGTGGTTTGTACACTTCATCTGTCCTGATGTGCACAGATGATTCAGCCACTAGATGTCATATCGTCCAGCTTTCGTCTGTTTGAAGTCCGTCCAGTAATAGTACGACTGTGTCTGAAACCTGAAAACACTCAGACGGTCATTTATTGAAGGCAGCAAAGATGTTTCTTCCCACAATGCGTCTGGCTGAATGGCCTGTTTAAACCTCTGATTTAATTTCTACCAAAATAGAAATAAGCATCATAGTCCTCAAATATTATTTAAGTTATTAAAACACACACACATATTAATAATAATAATATAATATATAATTATATTTTCTTTAATATTAAAAGTAATATAAAATAAAATTTTGTAACAATTTAACTATTTAGTAAAAATATTATTATATTTTATATTTATATTTTAAGTCTGTATTATATACCTTGCATGAAAATGAATCACTCTGGTCGGATTATAACACGTTATAATGAGTGTGTGATATTTAAATGAGTTTAGAACATACACATGTATCATACAGAAAAGATAAACTAAAAGAAACTTGTGAAAATGTTTAAAGTCTGATTCAGTGAGTCGATTCGTTTGAACGAATCTTTTTGTATTTTGCATGCTCTTCTTTTGTAGTGAATTAAATATCTAGTAAATATTTTATCGATTCAAACCCACAGTTTGAACTCGACCGAATCATTAAAACGAACTGACT